AATTATACTGAAAGGAGATAAGAAGATCACGTTTTTTTTTTTTAGACTTTTAAAGGGGAGGTGGTCTATACTTTATTAGGATTACAAGGATAAAATGGATAGCATGGTGCATTTTGTCGCTTTGCACAATACGATAATCTTGGTGCAATTTGCCACTATCATTCCACATATTGTCGTTAGATGAAAAGTATAAATAATAGTACATAATGATACTGGCGACAAAATGTCTCTGATCTCAATGTATATGATATACGTCGTCGTAGAGTTTGTGATTATGTTAGTTTTACGTAGTTTTGTAAATGTAATTCGTGTGCAAACCGTACAAAGTTTTTTTTTTCATTCAATGTTTCTGGAAATGTACATATTTTTGTCGACGTCAATATGTGCAGATGTGTGACTGTACATTACTTCGTACATTTCAAAGGAGGGAAATCAGGCTTGCATGAGCACAAATTGTCGTCGATGACAATATATACTGACATACGACAGTATGTGTAGTAACGGTGTACCCCTCCCCCTTCCCCCATATATTGCGATATGCCTCTCATGCCCCTAGCTTTACCTGTAAATTGACATCAATATTCACGTAATTTAGCTTAGCACATTTTTCGACCACATTCTGTCCTGCATCCGACCGCAGACATACATTTTCCACTTCTTCTCCTTATCAGCTTAGACAGATTTAACAAAACTTTCCACAGGGTGTACTGTGGGGAGGAATTTAATTTGTTCAAATGAGGAACCACATCCTTTCTCAAAGAGTTGTAGGAAATATGTAAGATTTGTAGGAGTTATTTGTCATTTGAATAATTTCGTCTACACGATCCATACCCAGGACTGACAGCGGGAAAGACCGGTAAAAATATTCTAATTTTGTTAATATCTCTTCGGTAAACGTGTTTATATCCTGTTCTTTTTTCTAATTTATTCTGAAATACGAATTAACCTTTACTCGATTCTGATTTGCTGTATAATACAGGATAGGATAGAATAGGATTGGATTGGATTAACAATAAAAAACAAACAGCGGAACCAAATCATAAATAAGTTTTAAATTTTGAGCCAAGAATGATAAAAAAAAAATAAGGATTTTACACTGGTGTAAAAAGTGAATGCCTAACAATTTCGTGAGATACCTTTTGTGTAGTCATACATGTGCCCTATTTGAGGGATTCAATCGCTTTCCAAAAGAAGAATATATTCTCAATTACAAATACACAAACAACTGTGTTACTTTATCCTATCCAAGTCTTTTGCTATGGATAAAAATAGATGACAATGACCTGTTTTTTCAGTGCAAAATGCAAGATTAAACGATGCCAAAAACCAAGTACAAAATACTAAGTAAACAACATATTTTTTTATGTTGACACTCAATTTTCCACATTGATGTCTCAGAGTGGTATCAGAGTATATGCATTATTCGTACAATGAAAAAAAGGTTTAGAATGTACATACCAAGAAGAGGGTTGCATTTCATTCCCAAATAATTTGTCATGTCAAACACGGAAATCGATAATATAATTTTGCTTGTCGTAATAAACAAATAAGAAAAATGGCAGGGAAGTTTTCTATGACAAACACACATAATCGAGTATTTTTAATCATTATTTCGATATGATAAGTAGCTCATGTTAAATCAAATATATTAAATGTGATTATATTTCGATACTTTAGAAAATGTTTTCTGCTTTTGATTTAAGGTGCTTGTTAGTAAACAGAAAGGGGGAATCTTGTAGTAAAATCGCTACTACTCATATAAAAAGCTTTTATTTGTTAGTTATCAAAAACATTTGTTTTATTTTAGCCAATTTATAGTAATAATTATAAAATATCATTTTAAAAGGTACATTTTTCTCAAAATTAAATGCAACCAGATGCTCGAAATTAACAGATACGTCGTTTTAGATATCTTTATTGTATTATATATTCATTAAAAAAAACAACCTGCCATATAAACATTGATATCATCGGGCTTCGTCTTTATGCATGGTTGAGGTTTATGATTTAGCATAAACATATAATTAAAATGAACTTTTAAAGTGCTCCATACGCATTCGGTTTTTCATATTGCTTAAAAAAACAAAGAAAGGAATGCAAAGAACCAGAAAATAAAAATATATTTATATATTGAGGATATTCAATGTTTTGTAGAAGAATATGGAATTTATTTCACGAATGGGACAGGAAGCACGAGTGAAAATATCAAAAAATCCCATCTCACTAGTGAAATAAGTTCCATATATATCTACAAAACATTGAATTTTATGTTTATTACATTTTCTTTGATGTAGTGCAGTCGTAGGCTACATGGCGTCATTGTTGAGCGGATGAGTCGTCATAGCTAAGTGAAAAACATTGCAAACATGAATTTCAGCAACATATTTGGGGAACTTTGACAGTTTTTTTAAATGACAGAATGGTTTTCTAACTCGTTTTCTATCAAATAACAGGCAAAAGAGTATTTCTACAACACTTTTGGTGAGGGGAAGGAATTTCGAGAGTTTTCCCGCACTTATTCAATGGATAAATTACAGTATTTCACTGTTCAAAATGTAATGGCGTTTTATATTCATTAAATTAGATATATTTTGATGATAGGTCAGGCATGCACCTGATTCAAATTTACATTTTATGCAACCAACAAATATTTGAGAAATGTAAAACTTAAAAGCGTATCACTTTTGTTCCATTTCCATCAGAATAGATGCTTTTCGTACATATTCACGATTATGTTTCCTCATTCACACGCATGTCTTCATCACAAATATCGCGGTATGATGATTAAGATTTGCTATTGTTTACTTCATTTAATTTCCTGGCGACACTTGATGGCTGCATCAATGTTTTCATGTTAGATATATTATATAAAGAAGACTTCAGCAGATATGAATTTATAAAATTATCTATCATACAAATCTTGTAAACGATATAGATTTAATATTAATTTGTATATAAGAATTATCAGCAGATTAAGGTGATTGCCTTTTAAACGGAACTGGTAAGATCTACATGCAGTCCGCTTTTTGAAAACATTTTACTTTTTAAAATTTAATATGCCGAGATAACATATAAAGAAAGGTGTTATTACGACATTTATTACTTGCAACACCACACTATTATATCAATAAAAGAAAAGATAACCTAAGACCCCTTATGACCCCTGGTTTGAGTTTTTCTTTGCATTATACAACAATTAATTTTCATTTTTTTTTTCATGGCAACCAAATTTGACAGATTTTGTTTCAGAAAACCTTCTACCAAATTTAATTTTTTCATACACAAGTATTTGTATCAGACACACCTTGTGGATAAAATTCTCTGATAGGCAGGGATGACAAGTTGTCTTCAATTGATAAACGGAAATGCCTTTGCATTGTTTTCCTAATTGAAAAGTATCTCCATTTTGACAAAATAACACCAAAATCAAGGAACTAAAAAAATTCTAAATCATTCTAACTTCTTAACAACATACAATCACACTTTCAACTGTCTTCTGAATTTTACATTTCAGAAGGGTCCACCTTCGGCCATAACCGTGCCAGATCCTTTAACCTTTAAAAGCATTTAATCGATTGTATGATGGTGAATAAATGGTAACAAAAAGAAAGATTATAGATATACATGTATATCATATTATATTATATAACAATTGAGTTTTGGTTATAAGCACCATGCTGCACAGTCAAAGCATACTATTTACATATGAGTAAATCAACGGAAAATAAATACGCGTATAATTATAGATACCTTTCTGTATTTTGTCTAGCTTTGTCACTTATTCTGAAAGTCATGTCATAAAGAGGTCATATAAAAATTTCAAGGGTATATCTTTAAATTTAAAAGTAAAAAATTATTATGAATAACCTTGCACTTTCTTCAAAGTTTAACTACTTAAAATAGAAAAATTTATTACGATTAAGTCATTTATGAAGCTGCAGCTGAATAATGTTCTCGGGTTCGGGAAAGCAGCAGTACTTTCAAGGTAAGAAAAATATATTTCACTTAATATTGCATTATGCTTTGTTTTAAATTATGAAATCACATGCAATAAAGATCATTAGATTCCTTATATAAAATTCAAATCAGACGAGTAAGACCTAATGCAACTTATTACTATGTTTTAAATAGATAAGAGTTCCTATTATTCAGAATTTTGTAATATTGAATTAAATTAGCGGAGAATTAGAAAAATAAGAAAGAGAATGTGGATTAAAATATTTAAGATTTTTTTTCAATCTTTAGCAAAATATTTATTTTTAGCAATAATATATCAATATCTGTTTTATTTCATTATCTGAAGAGATTTCTTAATTGTTCCATTTATTAATAAGGGTAATATTGACCATAGTGTAAAAGATTTATGTATATCCAGATAAATATTCAGGAATCACTAGCATAAGAAGTACACTGAAGGTTATTTGAATAATCATTTTAAAGTGCAAAATATATAAATACAATCATAGGTATACAATATAAAATAGTTTTTTTTATTCTCATCGATGCATGATTCTTTGTCCTCTGAGAACACGTCATCCTTAAACAAACAATACATAATCATACAAAATTGGTACATTTATATCTTATTAATGTTGTTTTAAGATTTTGGCAATCACAACATAGCCGATTATATGGATAATAAACAAGATTGTTAGAGACTTCTCCCTTTTTATTATAAACAAATTATTTTTAAGCATCCTATGTCCCCCAGATAACTCAGTTACATATTAAACAACCCCAAAAGATTGATACATGCTCCTATCTGAAAAATATTTCAATATTCTAATTTAACTCAGCCGTCAACTAGATTTTATATATTAAATACAAAAATGGGAATGTTTCTTTTCATTTTTAAATAAGAAAATTTCACCTTTTGAAATAAAAGAAATTCCTACAAAAAAAGTTACATCGAGTAATTTCTTTTGTAAAAAATACCTGTATTCCAAAAAAAAAAAAAAGATTTTTTTTTAAAGTTAAGAACAAGTAATCATCCTAAAATGTGTTACATTCTCAACATTGTTCTATTCACATCAATCACAGTTTGTATACAAAATTAATTGTTTTTTAAGCTAAGACATGATTAATTATCAGTATTGTCCTATAAGTCACAGTTTGTATATATAATTAATCATCACGCTCGATACGTTTAACCATCATCCATGTCCCACGCAAGTGTGTCCCATAATGTACCGCGGGAAACCACGGTTTTATCCATTTTTTTGAAGCCCAGAGTCCATTGAGGAATGCACTATAACACCTGTGGAACCACCAACCTCCACGTTGCAGAGCAGCACAGTGGCCATGAGGGGCCCAGTCATTATCCCTATCTGGAGTACTGAATGACGTCCCATTTAAATCTAAACGATGAAACACAGGGAGATAACGAACAATATTCTAGATCAAAATCCGTCGTCAATTCAGTGTATAAATAAGGGACTAACAATTGTTATGAAAAACGTTATTCAGCATTTGTCTCAATAAAAAATTGTCATTGGTGACAAGGTCATTGTACCGATCATAGAACTTACGAAATGATAACTGTTAATATTCTTGCTTCATCAACTTGTTTGTCAATAATTTACCTTGTTTTAGAAATTGTTTATACGTAGATCATACTTTTGCAAATCGAATTAACTGAAATACATGCAGGTGATGGGGATATATTGCTGCATAAGTAAGGGTAGTTGACGATAGAAAAGTTAAATTCATCAAGTTTGTCATAGAGCTTGGTTGTTGATTGTTATATTACCAAGACGCTCATACACTCCGTGTGGCATCAACGAGTTTGTCATCCGGTTATCTGAAAATTAAAGAAAAATATAATAATATAACGCAGCACTGTTAAGGCCTACTATGAGAAATCGACGGAAAATAGACATGCAAAAATGGGGATTTTTTCAAACTGAATTTATTTTAATTAAACTGTTTTATTATCACAGATCTTCAATACTTATGGAAATAGCATAGTATAATCCACTCTGTACTGTATGAAGTTTGATCCCATCGTTGGAAAGTCACGTAATGAATGCATAAAACGTGTAGTGAATGTTAGTCAATAACAAATTTCAATATCACAAGGGCATACCCCAGTTGAAATTGTAAATTCAAGCTATAAATTGTTCCTTCATACTTTGTACTTTCTGAAAAGTACTGCTGCTTTGAATAGACTTTGCGTTTTAAAAGTTGAAATTTCAATAGGCCAATGTAGAAATATGTTTGACTTTTCCCAATAATTTTGTGTACTTATAAAATCACGCTCTCGATTTAAAAAAAGCAGCAGCGCTTTTAAAGTTAATTAAAATAATCTTTATCTATATTCAAAAAAATGGCTACGATTTATTTACGCAGCACAGTTAAGGTTACAAAAGAGGGGCGGAGCCTAATTTGTACGGTAGAACTTGACTATGACATCATACAAAATATACGTCATACAACAATTCTTTAAAATACCACAAAATGAGGTAGTTTGCTAAATTAACCTGTAAGAAGTCATCAAACTACATCAAAAGTTACTACAACATGCTGTTTTGTCGTTATTACATCCCACATCACAAGATATAAACAAGTCACTGATCATAGTCTACTTGTCAATGTGACGTCATCGCGTAAAACGTGACGTAGTTTCTATGCAGTAAGAGGCAGATCAAGTAATATTTTTTTCAACGAAAAATGTATTCTATAATTAAATATAATATCATTTACAGATATTTCATAGGCCATTAACTTGAATTTAATGTCTTCTTCACGATTTTATTAATATGTTTTCTGTATATTACGTATTTACTTGACAAGCATAATGTAAGCATATCGGAGGGTAATGTGGGGGTCTTAATAAATCGGTCTAGTGCAAGGGCATACATCAATGAATCAAAGTAAGCTTTTACAATTTAACTCTAGAAGAATTGAGGTTTCTGAAAAGTGCTACGATCCTGATGAAATCTTTAAAATAATTTAATTATATCAATATTTCTGCCATTGACCAGCAAAAATACAGCATTAGGTCATACAAATATAATTTTAACAATGAAATTGCAGAATTAAAATAGGATTGCATCACTTTTCAGAAAATACAATGAGTGTTGAAAATATTTTTAAACTAAGCTTGGAATTTTAACTTTTTTATGCCCTTGCACTAGACTAAGTGAAATTTAAAAGTAATAACATTACTGCAAGTAAATGTACTAAAATCACGTGACAAGTCTAAATATAAAGTCTAATCGTCTCCAATATGTAGTTATTAACCATGATAAAGATTATCCAATAAAAATAATGTAGTAAAAGTAATTGCCATCCCGATTATGAATACATTTTTATTTACAAAATATTGTCGATATTTCCATTGCGCATCTTAACTGTATTGCTTAGTGTATGCCCTTGCAAAAGTACGATTTTATAAGGCATCTCGATATAAAGTATACCTAACCTGTACATTAAAACACGACATAATTAATAAAATACAATCTCATGACGGTTAATGAATAATCGCACTTAAAAAGGATAAACATTGGTATAAATAGCCTATTTAAAACCTGTAAATAGTATTTAATTTAATAATAAAACACATTTTTATTTGTTGAAAAATTCCCCAATTTGCCTCTCACAGAACATGAAATACGTCATTGTTACCAAAATGACGTCATGTTTACATGTTCATCGCGATTTCTTTTTTTTAATGCATTGATAAGTTTTATTGTAGTTTATAACGCTAATACAGCTTAAAGTTTCAAATTATTTCATTTTCATGTACATGTATTACGAAAAATACATAAAAATCATATTTTTGTGACGTCACTGTAAACTTTTCCCGTATAAATGAAGCCCCGCCCCCTTCTTGCAGCCCTAACAATGTTACGAACAAACATAATTCGGATCAGTTCATTCTTCTTTTTAATTTTAGTAACAGTTTATCAGAATTTATAATAATTTTATTATTTCATCAGTGCAGTTAAATATATTATATTCACAAGTGATTGATCTTCAATGCATCATTTATATTGACCAATATACGCTTTATAGAGTTAAAGAGAGGTAGAAAAGAAGCGAGTAAATCATATAGTGTTATCAATAATCTTAACATTAGTCTACATGTAAAAGGTACCAGTTAGAAGAAAAATATACCGCTTATTAGAAAACAATATCTGATTCAAAAATACATTTAAATACGATAACAAAAATGTAAGAACGGAAACAGTAAAAAGATAGAGTTTAGTATATTATCTATCTACAACTTTTGTAAAAGTGGGGTGAGTTACTCTTCACCAATAATATTTTTTTAATTAAAACGTGAATGCAAGCCCAAAGGTAATGCCTTTGTTATAGAGACGCTTTTTATTTTTTTTGCAATGTGAGTCTTGAGGTTACAAATATATTCATTGTCATTAATGTCCATAATCACAAACTCTACTTTAAGAGTTCGAAGTTTTGAGTACTAGAATCTTTTTTATACTATTCTGTTTGCCACGTACCTAAGGTTCCGGCTGTATTTCTTCCCAGGAAGAGTCTATACTTCTCAGCTTCATTGGAAATAAAGAATCGATCATACAACTGATATAACATTGTGCCATTCAACAGCGTGATGGAAACATATAAAGATATGTGCTGTTTCTTTGTTAATAGATGAATCACGTCATTTCCTGTTGTACAACATATTACACGTAAGACAAATTAATGCATGTGCACTATTTCAATTGATATTCTTCTGTATAATCAAATTGTAAATTGAAGCTCTATATTGTTGATTTTGTTGTAAATCTTGAAATTATTTAGTTTAGTTGGTTAAGTTATTGAAAAAAAGATGAATATAATTAATAAACTTAAATTCCATTTCTATTTATCTTTTTTTTATTCTGTTCATTTATTTTTTTAGGAATTGAATAATAAACAACAGGTGATGAAAATCGTAACACCGAGAAAAATATCTTTCAAGCTTAGAATCAGAGCTCTGATTTGATCCAAAATTTAAGACATTGCTTCAAAAGGATAATGTCAAGTTTGAAAGTTAATTAAAAATAACACTTTAATTAATTCTATAGTTACCGATCCATGTATCCTGTTCAGGGGCACCAAAACCATTCTTATATTCTGCCCAGGTTTTGTCAAAGCTAGGGAATCCAATAACCCTTTTCTGGATTGCCTTTGAAACACATATTTTTATTCAACATTAATGGATGGCATTCGTTTAAGAATGTCATCTATGTAGATACAGCCTCCTGTATATTTCCTTATAATAAAAAGGTACAGATTCAATTTACCCAATAAGTGTTGTGCTTGAATTAAGGAATGTTTTTAAGTTTTGTGTGAGTTATTGGTGTGTGAATCACACAGACTTGTCACGTAGGCATATTTCATAAAGCGCACCAGCGCTTCAAGGAAAATATGCCTACGTGCAAGTCTGTCTGATTCTCACACCAATAATTCACACTAAACTTTAAAAACATTCCTTATATTTACATTTTACATGTTTCGAGGCAACTAAAATATACTTATTATTTGAATTTCTCACTGCCCTATATCGTTGCATTTTTACTAACGTCGCTGCAGTCTCATTGTGACGTCACGTTAACGCACGTTTCTCCGTGTATATTTCTACGCGTGAGTATACACGAAAATGGTATTCAAATCAATTTCACTGTTTGCTTAGTAGAAAAACACAGCTAATGTAAATTTTAAAGAACGAAGCAGAACAACATTAATAAAACTTCAGATTGGATTTTCCCTTTATACAGTTCTCTTCATCAACATAACTGGTACAAGTAAGAACAAAGTTAACAGGTCTTACACTACTTACCCGACTCCTTTATATGAGGGTGTTATGAACGAGATAGTCCCTACCTTAAGCTTATTACTTTAAAAAATGAAATAAATTGCAGATTTAAAATGATGATTAACTAGAAATACATGAATTAATAACCAGCCTGAAGATCTTTCGGGTTTAACGTCACGGTATTTTTTGTTAATCTGAAAACGAAAACGTGACAGTTTCAATTTAATTTGTACAGTAAAGTTTTGTACCCCCTCCCATTATTTAATTTGAAATGAACGACTCTGATGTTCTGATTTCTTGTTTGATTAAAAATATGATAGAATATTTATAAGTATGTGAGAATGACATTTTTTAAACACAAAATTCATTAAAAACAGAATATTCGTTTCTAGGCATTGAAGTGTGTCACTTGTAAATGATAAATCCTGTTTATGCTTTTTTATAACAGCCGATTCCAAATTTGACAGATAAAGCGGCCATGCAGAATTTTCCCATTTCCAGCTGCAGCCCATTGAGCATTGATGCTTATTTATCGCGCCAACTCCTCATCACGTCCTAAGTTTGACTCATTGAGGCAAAAGAAATTATAACCTTGGGCTTCCCGAACTCGAAGCTAACGCCCCGAATAGCATATCGCTACCGGCCTAAAAAAAGTCTTATTAAACAAGAGACCCATGGGCCTCAATGTCATCTGCATATCATGTAACAACTTTCCAGCAATTGAATATGGTTCAATTTCTGAAACGAGGTAAATCATTGACAAGCAAGTTGATGAAACAAGAATATCAGCAGTCTCGTTTAAAGTCATCATTTTGTAAGTTCTATGGTCGATACAATGACCTTGTCAGCAAATACAATTTATGACTGAGTCAAATGCTGACTGACGTTTTTCATACCAATTGTTAGTCCATTATTTATACACTGAATTGACGACGGATTTTTTCCGTTTTTTTCCTGATCATGACAAGAAGCACACGGCAGGTGTGACCGATCGGCAGGGGATGCTCACTCCTCCATGGCACCTGATCCCACCACTGATGTTCCGGGGGTCCGTGTTTGCTCTGCTCTTGTTTTGTATTGTTTTATGGACTTTGAGATTGAATACTGTTCGTTATCTCCATATCCTTCTTAAACCAACAGACAAAAAATTCACAATTTTGAAAGAAGCACTATTATTTACCATAAGCGCACACGTAACATGCTTACTTTGGTTACTTTATACCGCGAGGTAGATCAAAGTAATAAAATGAAAATGCATTTTCACTTTATAACCACCAGTTGTGCACCATAAACCACAGGAATCACTACGCTGAGGCCCCATATTTCAAAATTTTGGAAATTTTATTATAAATTAAAAAGTTATTACATCATATATAGTTGATTAATACCAAAGAGCAGATTTCAAAGGATTACTTTATTTTCAAACTTTCACCCCCACCCCCGCGATACCCAGGGCCATGAAATTAACTTTTTGGGAAGAGACACCTTTCTTCATCATAAATATTTACCTAGAACGTGTACATTATTAGCATAATACCCAGAAGCTAAGGAAACGTTTTCCAAAAAAATCATTCGTTTTTACAACATATTAATTAGATTAACACCAAAACCTGTGCGCCAAGGGCCATGAAATTTAAAATTGGGAAGAAGCATCCTTCATCATCATAACTATATACGTAGTTCATTGGTTTAATACCCAGGAGAT